AGAGGGGGTAGTAAGGAAACCCATAAGCACTGCGTATAGCGTTTGGCTTAATCAGGCCGCTTTACAACAAGTTATTGCTTGCTAAACTTGAAGACGACCCATAAGCACTGGGTATAGCGTTTGGCTTAAGCAGGCCGCTTTACAAGAAGTTATTGCTGGCTAAGTTTGAAAAAGCTTGAAAACGGCAATGTTAAATCAGGACCGAGAAACACCAGTCATCACCTCAGCCACTCAACAATATGAGTTCAACACCCCAACAAGCCCTAAACCCTAAACNNCCCTAAACCCTGAACCCGAAAGCTTAAACCCCAATCCTACCTAACATTCGAATCGGGATAGGCCCTTCTCCGGTGAGCGGACAGGAAGGGCTTTGCACTGGAAAGGCTTGGTGAACCGATCAACTCGCTGAAAAGCTGATAAGCACGCAGCCTAAAGCTTACTGGTTCCCAGTTGGGAATGTGGGCATGTATTGATTTCTCATCTGACCCCTATATAATACATTTCTATTGTCCCTACTAACCTGCAGTAAGCAAGCCCTAACGGCTAAGCCCGAAAGCACGTTCACCTGGCGGACAGCGGCTCCCAAATGGATGGAGTGGGTTCAGGATCTTGGCTTGAGTAGAGTGGCTTGGTGATTTAGTAGCTTCCATTTTCTTTTCCATTCCTTCATTGCCAGCTACCACAAACAAGCTCAAGGGGGACCTGGCTACGGCTCATGTGCTCGCCAAGCATGCCTAAACCGATGCCAAATTGCCAAGGAGTTTCAATGTAAACATGTAGAGACACATGCAAGGCTCGACTCCAACTCTCAGCTGCATACAGGCTGTTGGTCCTATGGAAGTTACAAGAAGGCCGCACATTGATAACCTGAGATGCTCAGACCAGCCCCCTTAATGCAAGACGAGTCTCATTAAGAACTGCAAAACTGCAAAAAGCAATGTACCAGTCAAACAAGCGAACCTCGGCTTTCCGCAAAACGCTTGGCATTGGGTGTACGGTTACCAAAGCCTGGAGGCAAGGCAGGTAGTGGCGCAAACCATAAGAGTAGGTTGAAGGATGTGTTATACTGTTCTATGAAGAGCTGAAGGGTACATCACAACGTCCGTTGAAGAACTTGCTAGGGTAATCTCAGGCTTCAGCAAGGAAGACATGTATGAAAACGCTAGCCGCAATGGTCCAAGGTGCCCAGAACTCCCCCAAAGGCATCAGCGTGTCCGCTGCAATACCCCAATCTATGCCGCCTGATCAAGTAGGGCTGGGGCTCAGGGATTGCGTTCAAGCATCATAAGACGGATAGAATGCTCGTCAACCAAAAAACGCTCCACATATTCCTACCACTCCCAGGGGTCCCCACACGCACATTTAAATTCGGACAGGGGCAAGCACGAGAATGAGCGCTTTGAACTCGCTTGCACACCAGGGACTCTTTGCAATTAGCTTTCAACATGTGAGATGTCCTGGGAAACCGGGATCCTTAAATGCAGCTTTTGAAAAAAATCGTGGGCCACGATTTGGAATGCAAAAATCATTGCTCCCTTTTTTGGGAGTCCCTATGGTAAGATTCTTGGACTTTGGAAGCCCTTGCATCCAACTTACCTTGCAGGTCTGAGAGCACAGTATGCTGCCAACCCTGAACTCGAAGCATCTTGGAGTCTCTCAAAACAAAGATACACCAACCCTAAACCTTGTAGGCATGTTGGGGACATTTGGCCCTACCAAGGGATGCTGGTGGTCCTAGTAAGGACTCTATAGGGATAACTTTGAGAAAACTTCTCCGAATATGAAAGTTTGCTCACGACACGGTTCCCAAGATAGAGAAACTCATGGAAGGGTCATATTTGAGCAGGAGCCCAAATGCAAACACACGTAGTATGCTAACCAAGGACAATCCCCAGCTGCCTAGTAGTGAACGGAAGAGCGTCTCCGTGGAAGTCATGACCTTTGAAGCCCAGTACAAATGGGGATAGAGGGCTTCGTCACGGTTTGCGGCTTGGAAAACTTACGCCCATAAACGATGTAGTGGTTTCTATTTCACTTTTTAAACCCCAGTACATTATTGTGTAGTTTCCAGATCTTTTCCGTCATGCCTATAAACCCCAATATACTACGTAGAAGTCGTCCTCCCATACCAGCCCTTGAGATGAGTTTTAGGGGACTTGATATAAGGTTTTGGATTTAGGGGGTTGTGGGTTGGGATAATGATTGTGTGATGGAGTATGGGAGCACCATCGGAACCCTCCTGTAAACCACCCGTCTGCACCGCGGACACACATTGCACAATTTCAACACGTCTGTGATAATCTGAGAGCTTCGATGGAAAAAAGCCCTACGAGTACGACACTTGCTTCTCATGCCGGCTAATTGAAGGAGATAGGACCAAACATTGCATTCGGAAATGACAAGGGGTAACAATGGGCAACGAATCACAACTTATGAGATATGGCACAATTCTTGTGCAGCAGGCTTCTTGCAACGCTTGCAACATGATTGCTGGAGAAGAGCATTTCCAAAATATCTTTTCATGTTCTCGTCTTTGACGAAAACCTCCTCGGAGTAGATGTAATCGAGAGCCGCGTCAGTAAAAAGTATCCCAAACGTGTACTGAATGAGCAGCAACCTTGGCCAATACAGCTCATGTGAAACAGCAAATGTTTACAAGTTTCATGGAGCAGAAACCCCTTCCCCTTCTTTGGAAATGCGCCGCGAAAAAAAAATCATGAAAAAAAATGGATGCTCTAGTCACATCCGAGAAGCAATAGCAAAGCCCAAATTAAGGACTTTGTCGTGTCGGCTATCCTTAAGGGTGCTTCGTCGGGACTGAAGGACTGCATCCCCATAGTACCCTTTGCACACTTTCCCTTAATAACGTTTATGTTCAGTTCCCCATCCCTTATGGGCGTTCCCCAGCAGGGGTCCCCGTAATAATGGCCATAATTTTTCGGTGTCTGTATTCGAGTTCTGCTATTTAGGGGAAATACTCTACTACGGCCGGACGAAAGTTCGACCCACCCGTTATGTCAGGCCAACATCGCCAGCAGACCCCTTCTCCCCTATAGACTCCTCCAATGAGCATTTTTGGGGGGAACTTGGGGACTCCGCTGGTACCTTAAACTAGTAGTAGTTTAAAACAACGTATTAATGTACTCCGCAACATGGCCCACCACGCGTTGAGCCTCTTCGCAAGCCCCGAAGCCACAGTAGGTCGAAAGTATATTCCTGGCGATGCCTCACGTTAACCCACAATGAGTACCTGCAAGGCAGATCATTTTAGACTGCTACACGCAAAATGACGCTAGGGTTATGTCAGGCCAGCATCGCCAGCAGACCCCTTCTCCCCCATAGACTCCTCCAATGAGCATTTTGGGGGGGAACTTGGGGACTCCGCTGG